AAAAAAAAAAAAAAAAAAAAAAAAAAAAAAAAAAAAAGGGGAAGGAAGAGGAAGGAAGAAGGAAAAGTTGGCAAAAAATCGGTGGCAACTGGTAAAAAAATAAAAAATAAAAAATAAAAATTGACGAAGTACTATGCCTTTCCCAACAAAAGAAAGGAAGAAGAAGGGTGGCCAAAGAAGAAGTAAGCAATCAAAAAGAATTTCATTAGTATCATGTCTCAACAAAGTAACCTCTTCTCAGCCACAACAACACCCCAATAAATGAAATAGTTTAATTTTTCTCTCACCTTCCTAACCTATGGCCTTGTTTGTGTTTCATATGGATTCCCTGCTCTTAGCCTACCTAAACATCTCTGGTTCACTTTCCCTCACTAGGGCAGAGGTCCTTGTTGTCCTACCTGCTTTCCGGCCATCTACACCCCTGTTAAGATCATCCAATGTCTCAACCCTGCTATTCCTGACTCCCATAAACTACTATTCCTCGTCCTCCCAACCAACTCCCAAAGGCAATACAAGGTCAGCTTACTAGCAATCAAGATCAAACCAATCGCACCACTTACTCCTCCCTCCTTCCCATCTCCACCATTCCCCAGAGCACCCCTTCCCCATCGTCCCGCCACCCCCTCCCATTTGATACCCCCCAATTCCCTGCAGCCACAGCCCGCCGTTTCAGCCCCTACCCTACAACTCCCAATCAGTCTCCTTAGAACTCTTCGAGCAACTCAAGAATCATCTCCTCAAGCAAGAAAGCGAGACCAAGACAGTCACGGAGACCTTCATAAAAAAACTCGCGAAGAAAGAAGAGGAGACCCAGACCGCCAATGGACTCTACCAAAAACTACTCTTCGATATGGAAGCCATCAAAGTCCGTATCTCCGATAAGTCTGGCCCTTCCTACGACGAACTCCAAGCATGGTACAAGATGTTCTGCCCCCCCCCTGGCACCACCAAGTCGCTGCAGTGATTCGGTTCTACACCATCAACCTCAACTACCACCACTACCCATTCGGCAGGGCTATGGCCAGTGCCTTTGCAACTCGAGTGGCATCAGTGGCTAGGGACTGCATTGATCATAAGATTTCCAAAGGAACAAGGACCGCTCTTAACAAGGCCATCAGCGAGGGCATGGAGAAAACACTCCCCATCATTGAGACGAAATTTAATTATTGTCTAAGCATCACAAGGAGGGATTAGTCTAGGTAAGCATAAGGGCAGTCACCCGTCATCAAAAGATTTATCGCCCTAGACCGCTAAATAGGTCCACGCCATGCACGTTCATGGGCTTATTTATCTCTCCCTATCTTTATTTTGCAGGTATGGCAAGCCGAAAACAGACTCATCCTCCAACCGGAGGAAGGACGATTACAACAAGTCGGACGACTACAGAAAATACTCTTCAAAGCGACATTACGATGATAAATCAGACAGGGGCTACGACTTCAACCGCTCCTCTAAGTGTCCTCACCATGATTCCGATCCCAAGAGCAACCACCTATCCTCCCCGATAGACCCCACTAGACACTCAGACTGATGCGCAACCCTTTTATCTCCCATATATTCCATCAATCCTCTCCGACCTCTCCTCCACTCCTACAATCTTTAAACTCCGCCTCGCCTCCTTCGCTCTTCAAGAACCTTCTTCTTGGCTTCGCAACCCGGGCCGTTTCTTTGCCGCCTCCCCTTCGCACTTTTTCAGTAACTGGTCACTTCTTCTTTCTTCATCTAAAAAAAGATACTCTCACTCTGTTCTCTAATGGATCCACCACGGAGTCAGGCTCGGTTTTGTTGGTACTAAGCATATTCCTGTTAAAAAGATTATTGAGTTCAGGCATATGGTCAAGAAGGTGTACTCAGCCTCCGCTTTCAAAATAGTCCTCTTGTGTGAAACCCCCCTGCCAACCTTAATTCTCAACCACTCCCTACTCTCTTACCATAATAGTTTCATCACTTCCTCAATTACTCTCCGATGGTGTCATTGAGCATTTTCCGAACCCTATAGTTATCAATCCAGTCTTCGTTATTGAAAGCTCATCCAAAACTAGATTCATCTTAGATGTGAGATTCGTCAACCTTTTTCTATCCTTTCCAGAATTTCATTATGAATTTATCAATGACCTGGTAGCCCCACTCTCTGGCTCTCCGACACAAGATTTTATGACCCATTTTGACATTAAGAATGGGTACTACCATATCTCAGTTCACCCTGACCACAGACCTTACCTTGCTTTCTCGTGGGAAGGGACAACCTACCAATTCAAAACTCTATGTTTCGGCATATCCGTCGCATGCCACATCTTTATCACCTCATATATCGATGACTCTGCACTCGCAAACCCAAACCTTCCCCTTCTTCTTTGGCAATCTTTCAACTATGTCGCCCTCCTCCACAACCTGGGATTTTTTCTAAGTCTTAACAAATGTTTCTTTGTACCCTCGCAATCCATCAGATTCCTGGGTTTTACGATTGACTCCCACTCTAAGCGAATCAGAGTTCCGGATGATAAGGCAGAAAGAATTCGAGCCCTCATTGCCTCAACCACCCATACCACCTCTTCAAGCAGAACCTTATTTAAACTTGCCAGGAAGCTTGCTTCCCTCTCGCAAGCCTTTCTGTCCGCCCTTCTGTTCACTTCCTTCATCTACGAAGCTATCTCCTCCTCTTACTGGGACTCTCATGTCCCCATCTCAGACTCTTTAATTTGGGATCTGATTTGGTGGACAGAGCACCTACCCAGCCTCCCTGACCGACTTTGGACTAAACGATCAATAACCTTTATTAGCTCAACAGATGTGTCCGCTACCCAAATTGGCTCCATTATCACACCTTCCTTAGGCCCTCCGCTCCACCTCAACCAATGTCTTCCCTGTAACCTCCTCTCCGCCTCGTCCACGCATCGCAAACTGTTCGCAGTCCTTCAAACTCTCCACCTTCTTCAAAACCCGCATCCCCACCTTCTTGTTTCCTCCGCCATCAGACCACTTTCAAACAACCAATCTTCGGTTGTCCTACTCAACAATCTTCGATCCCCTGACTCTCTCTTCAACCGCTGGCTCCGCCTGATCTCATCATTACTTATTTCTCATGATACCTGCCTATTTCCAGTCTGGATTCCGAGGAATCTGAACCAAACCGCAGATGACTTGTCTAAGACCCAGTATAACACCGACTGGGGAATCTCCTCCCACCTCAAGAATAACATCTTTAACTCGTCAGGCGCTCCTGCTATTGACCTCTTCGCTTTAGACTATCACCATGCTTGCCTCGTCTTTATTTCCAGAACATGGTCTTCAACTGCATCCTCCGTCGACGCACTCTCACTCGATTGGAACTCTCTCATAGTTTCGCCTTACAAATGGTTTCCCCCCCCCACCTCTCTGATTCACTAGGCCCTGACTCTTGCCTCATCTGCCTCCGCCACCTATCTCTTTATTTTTTCGGACTCGCGCAGAGCTAACTGACTGCCTCGCATCCTCTCTCTCAGAGTTTCCCACCGATTTGTCATATCCAAATCCATTTACTCATGCATTCCCAGTCCGCGTGTACACCATTTATGTCCCAATTTAGCCACCATTGGCCTTTCTTGCATCCTCTTTACCACTTAGTCCCCTTCTGCATTCCTCACATTTCTCTTCGTCACCTCCCCGTTGCGCTTCCACCCCCTCTTTACCCCATATCCATACCGCATAAACATCCCAATGCTGCTCAAGGTTCCCTGCCGCATCATCTCCCCCAAACTCCACCCGTCCTCTATTCCTGCCTGTAATCCCCCAATCCTAAAGCTATGGTTGCTCTCTCCTTCGTATACTCCCGCCTCTCCAAACCACTTCTCAACTCGCTTATTAAATGCTCCCCCACCAAGCGCATTAACCCCACGCCCAGCCCGAAACAAATAATATGACCGCAAATCCACCCCGAGGCCTTCATACACAATTATCAACTCTGGCACAATCCGCAAAAAAATCTCTTTACCTTCCTCGGCCTTCTTCAACCTTATGAGAAATCGACCTCCATATCGATTTGTCTTAGTATATCCTGGTCGCACAAGGCAATTCCCAACATCAATCTCTTTATACTGCAATCGCAAACCTTCCCGCACCGCTGCCAACTCTCCCACAAATACAGGAACATAGCTGCATCTCGATAAGCTTCCGCCTCTCGCATCCTCTTCAACACCTTTATCTTGCATCGCATATATCCTATCACAACCTTAAGTTTCTCCCAAACCAGCGGTCGCGCCGACTCCTCAGTAACTCCCCTCGCCAACCCATACTCCCGGTACGCTTTCCGAAATGCTTTCACCCAGCTACCCTGGCACGGATCATCCCCTTCTTCCCTACCAAGCAATCTAAAGACGCCGCTCAAACAATTCATTACCGCATCTCCTGTGGACGACGACACCATTTGTTCGCCATCACTATCTGTAGTTCGGCACCTGCTTTCAATTTTCACTAACCATTGGCTACTCAGGAAAGAAATGATATCCAAATCATTGCATGTCATACAACTCCTGCCCACTCCATTTCGTTCTAACCACTCGTTCAGTCCAAGCAGCAATTTCTTCATTCCGTTTAGCCATCGCTTTCCTGGTACGAACTCCTCTATTAGTTTACTACTCCATTTTAGTCCCACTACTGCATTTTAGTCCCGCTTCATAACTTCCCGTTATTTCCGGCATCGCTCTCTTCTGCCTCCAGCTTCCATCACTCATTCGCTCCTTCCACCACTCCCTGCAAGATGACAAGTCACTTGTGAGATGATGGAGGGATTAAGGGCGGTCTGGGAGGTGTGTGGGCCTGCGGCCCCAACTCTATGACTCACCTTTGAGCAATTTGGCATCATCAAGGCTTTGCATTTTTCCAATTTTATCTCGATTGGACCCATGCAGCAACTGTCGTACTCCAGTCCTTTCAGTTGGTACGTACTCGGCGAGTTCCGATTCAACCATCACATCAGTCTTGACAAGAACATCGGGACCTACCAATCTTTTCGTTTCCGACTGCCTCCTAGAGGTTTTACTCCGCAGATCTTCAGTTTTGGAAGACGGGCCTACTTTTCCAAGATTTTGACTTCTTGATTTTTCAAGATCTACGGCTGCGAGTTTGTGGAACCGAGATCAGCGAAGGAGGAATCAGCGGAACTTACCCTGCGGGAAGGAGCCCCTCGGAGGACCGGCCGCCAATGGACCCGAGAGTAGCGAGTGTATAAGTAACAGGCACAAGACCGGTCGCAGCAGGCTGGTTTGTCGCACGCGGAGCAACTTCGGGAGTTCGAACGCTGGCAGCTGCGCCCATCGCGTAGGCGAACCTGCAGTCACACCACAGGCACCAGTTCGCTCAGAGGTCGAATTGTTTTCCTCGCCAGATTTTGGCAAAGCGGTCCCACCCACCCTCGATTTTCCTGCGGTGTGTGGACCTGCGGCCCCAACTCTATGACTCACTTCTGAGAAATCTGGCATCATCAAGGCTTTGCATTTTTCTTATTTATCTGGACTGGACCCATGCAGGAGCGAGACCCTTTCTCTCTCTCTTCCCCTGACCTATCTATGTGACATCACTCATTGGCATCCCCTCCTCCCTGCCGGCGCGGCCGGTGGTGTGTCCACCCCTTGTCCCTCCCTCAGCCTGGTGCACCCTAGCGCCCGCCTCGTGACTGCACCCGTCGTCCCTGCCTCCGACCGACGCACCTCAGAGCCCACGCCCCATTACGGCTCGACCCCACCTCCCTCCCTCCGCCTGACGCGCCCCAAAGCCCACGCCCTGCAACGGCCCTGCCCTGCACTTTTCCCTTCGACCGCCTTGGCGGGTCCCTGCCGAAGTTCCGCCTGGAGCTTCAGCCCCGGCCCGCTCGGCCCCGGCAGGGAGAGTCGACGGGAGCAGTTCGGGGCGGGACCGTGGCTGGGTGCGGGCTGTAAGGCGCGTCGGGCGCAGGGAGGTACGAGGGGTGGACTTTCGGGCCGCGCTGGGCTGACGGAGGTACGAGGGGTGGAGCGGTCGCGAGGAGTGGACTTTCGGGCGCGCTGGGGTGGACAGACCACCGAGCGGGCTGCAGGGAAGAGGGGGCGCCTGCGAGCGATGTCACACTGATCTGTCGGGGGAGAGAGAGAGAGAGAGAGAGAGAGAGAGGGGACAAAGACCGGCGTGCTGACGGATCTATGACCTGGAGAGAAAGAGACGTTGCGAGAGGAACATAGAGGGCGACCGAAACACCGAGACCGGGACGGATCAATCAGTAAGCCGAGACGGCCCGTGAGAGATGGCCGATCAAGGTAAGCCCCAATCTTTCTCGCTGTGACTCTTCGCCCCCTGTGCAGCTCAACCGATCAGTGAATCAGTCAGTCAGTCAATGAACCAACCAATCAATGAATCAACCAATCAATCTTTCCTCCTTCTGTCCGTCTCCCCACTTCGTCGTGCTCGTCGGCCCGCTCCTTCCCGACAGCGCGCTTCCGCTCCCGACAGCGCGCTTCCGCTCCTGGCCATGCCTGCTCCTTTCCCATTCTGCATCCGCGTATCTTCCCCTGTCGCCAATCAACGTTCCCCGTTTTTCTTCGTGCTTTGGGGGGGAGAGAGAGAGAGAGAGAGAGAGAGAGAGAGAGAGAGAGAGAGAGAGAGAGAGAGAGAGAGAGAGAGAGAGAGAGAGAG